ATCAAGACCTAAAGTTTGCTCCAGTGATACGCCATCCCGGAGTAGCTCAGCTGAGTGACTCCTCGTCATCGCCTTCATAAAAGGTTCGTTCTTACGAACAGAGCATTTTGCAGACATTGAAGGCTTTACAATGCCGCCATGTTTAAATAAAGATTGTTTGCCGAGTTGCTTAGTTTCAGCAAATGACTTGAGGGCAAGAACACAGTCTACAACTCGGACCCCTTGTCCACCCTATAGTTGAGTTTAAGACGAATTCGTTAAGTTCACTGTGGCGAAAGAAACACAATGCATGTTTTTTGCACAAGCTGAAGCAACATTCCTTTGAAAGTGCAGTATGAGGCAGGAGTTAACACTGCAAAACTGTACTCCCAAGGGGATTAGCCGTAGACGTCTAGATTTAACTGAAAATGATAGTGTCACCTTTTCCAGGTCGGACACCTCAAATGTTGGGAGACCTAAATCTTGTAGGCCTGTGAGGAAATTCCTCACGTTTTCGAAGTACTGGTATGCACAGAGAGCTGAACCATCTGAAGGGATAGTAGAAACCGAGTGGACCTCCACAACCTAGAATCATCACACTCAGCATGCAAAATCACCAAAAGGGAACTTGAAATTTTAAAGACTTGAAGGGGACGAATGCAACCTTCGGCACGGTGCCAGGCTGAATCTTGTTGACTGCATTGCAAAGAATGATGCCATTCCTCAGGCCAACCCGGAATTCCTCCTCAGACGGTTCTTCGGCAAGGTTCTTCGCGCAGACTACCCCTACTGTCCTTCTCAACCAGCTGGCTGCTTCATTCCTTCTTACTGCTGCATTTATCAACCCGAAACAAGCACAATTTTCAACCAATTCAGATACGTTAGCGACCACACTGCGTTAGCTGTAGAATTTAGGTGTTCAGATTAACAGTTACTGACAGGCTGATGCTTGAATTCTGAAATACTGGTACAGAACACATTGAACACTTTGTTGACTTAATGAGATTACATTTTGTCGTCAACTGGATAGATGGTA